TAATTATGACATCCATGCTTAGATTAGATTATTAGTTATTTGATTGTTCCTTCCGTATTTATGGATTAATTGTGATGGTTGAGTATTTTGAGAGTTGAGGTTTGATATCTTGGAATCATTATTGACGTAAAGGACACCCTTGGCAATATTTATCTCCCGAATTTTTGTATTCATTACTGCTTGATAAGGGAGAATGTTAAAGCACGAAGGATAATGCTGTGCTATTTTATTACTTCATTTATTGATTAATACATAGTGAAAAAGAGAGATAAAGCACGAAGGGTGATGGCATGCCATCTATATCAATTATTCACTATTACATGGTGAGAACGAGAGTAAAAGAACGAAGGGTGATGCCGTGCCATTTTATTTCTCTTATGAGATCATTTCATGGTAAGGATGAGAGTAAATGCACGAAGGGTAATGCCTTACCATTCCCATATCGTATATTATTTGTCCTTTTTGGTTTATGAATTATTGACTATTTGTGTTGTCTTTCATGTTGTAATTATTGTATCTTTTCCCCCTTTCGCATGTCCCCTCCCAACTGTACATATTAAATCTCTATTTTGTTGTTGTTTGGTACATAAATATATGCTTGTACAAGTTTAATTACGTGAGTGTCCTGTCATAGCCTCATCACTACCTCGTCGAAGTTAGGCTCGGCACTTATGGATTACATTGAGTCGGTTGTACTCACACTACACTCTACACTTATTATGCAGATTGTGGTACTAGTCCCAGTTGTACGTGAGGTGCACTAGCTCGAATTATCACACTCGGAGACTTGAGGTAGATCTGCTGACGTCCGCAGACCTTGAAGTCCCCTTCCTCTTTCCTCTTTTACTGTTCATTTCATCCGAAATAATTGTATTTATTTCAGACTATATTTGTAGAACTTCTAGTAGCTCGTGCACTTGTGACACCAAATTCAGGGTTGTATTCGACATTTTAGTTGTTATGGTTTTTCGCACTTTACTTCAGAATTTATTTCAGTTATTTCGGTTTCTTTATCATTATATAACTTGATCTATATAAGAGATCGGATAAATTATTCTAATATTGGCTTGCCTAGCAAGTGAAATATTAGGTGTCATCACGGTCCCGAGGATGAGATTTTCAGGTCGTGGCAGTTAAGTATGTATACGGTAAAATTGAATAGCGACAGTTGGACGAACTAAGGTGGAACACCAATGGCATCTAGGCCATTTATAAGATCTCAAGCCAATGGACTAAGGAATTTGCACATCTTCACCTAGCATCGGATATCTTGGAAGCATGGGAAGATGATGGTGGAAGGCCCTTGAAGGCATACAATGTGTTGAGGGTGGAGATCTTGGAGGAGCATGTAGAACACATAGGCTACGTGGATGGTGATAGGAGCACATGTGAGCCCCCTTGATGACTTGTGTCGCGTCCCGTTTTCTTGCGAAAGTGGGTCTCGACGTGTGACAACTCTTTTAAATGGGTGTTAAAAGAGGAGAGTCGCCAACTAACGATATTAGAGTACGTTAGGGCACCTATTTGCAAATAACTTTATTTTAACTAGTCCGTGTCACTAAAGATTGGATAAGGGCTTAAATTACCTTGAATAGAATAGAAGGTGTTAGGCAATTTTTAACTACTTATGTAGATGTAGTGAATAAAAGAGGCTGATGTTTCCTTTGCAGTTAGTCGTGTATATCGGGGACCCTCTAGAAGTGAGTTGGTTACTTTGTACCTTTTTTAATTATTTTGAGTTTTGGTGCGGTTAAGATAGTTGATTTTTGTAATAATTTATCTGTATTCAATGTTTACATCGAATATTAATTTATCATAATTACACCATAGATTATCTCTCGCTCTCACTCTCACTCTCTCTGACTTTTCTCAGTTGTTGCTCAAACTGAGATTTTGACCTTCTATGTTGTTTCTCAGTAAGTATTGATACTTGATCATGTGGATATTTTGAGGGAGGAGGCGATGGAGAAAAATAGTTTGGTAGGTGCTCCTCTTTCGGGGTGTGAAATGTGAACATATAGAGGGGATGCTTCTTGGAAGCTGCTTTGCTTCATTCGACGGACAGAGAGTCGGAAAACTTCGGTTTTTTTTTTTGGGTCAAAGTGGACTTTTAATTAATTTGCTTTTGGTCATTTTATTTTAATATGTACCTTATCACATAGATACCTCATATATATGTTGGGCTAACTGGGGAAATAGTTGGGCAAACTGGTGATGATTTCACATTTGGCTGGATAGTACAAATTAGGAATTTTTACCTCTTATAGCAAATGTTAACACCTTATTTATTTTAAATAAATACCATTTAAAAAAATTATATTCTATAGATACCTTTTAAGGTTTATAACAAAATATTTAATTTTGGTTAGCTCCTAGCCCTAAGCCACTAAATAAGCTAATGAGTTACACTATTTTCTTTTTCTCTCTACTTTGATACATCCCATTTTCTTTCCCCATCACATTCTCTCTTTCCTCTCTCCTCCTTCTTTCTTCTCTTTTTCTCCCGATTTTTTTCTTCCCTGCTTTTAAAAACCCTAGCAGGGGCTATTTTCCACCAGATACGGCCGACGACCACTTCCCCCTTCCTTGTTGAATCACCCCTAACTCCCTCCTCAGACCGACGATGTATTTTACCCGTCAATAATGACCCAACAATCATCCTTAGTATTGTGCTGAGAGACTTCTTCCATTGTGAATAGCTTCGTCAGTGTTGGCATTTTCTCTCAATTAACTTTTAGTGGCTTTTTTACTTGCAAATTTCTCTTCTATCAAACAAGTTACTAATAAACCCTATATGGCTGAAATACTATACAGAATACTATGGTCTTGGCGGCAGTGGTTTTCGTGTGAAAGGGGGCATGAATATCGGTGGATTAGGAGTTAGGGCTAAGCAACTTGATTTTCTGTTAATATATTTTAATGTATTTTTATGTATTTCATTGTATACATTGTCTTTTTTTCATTATAATTCAATGTATCTCGTTGTGTTCCATGTATATCAATGTATTCACTGTCTTTTTTTTTCATTGTATTTCAATGTATCCCGTTATATTCTATGTATTTCATTATATTCACTGTCTCGCTATATGCCACGAATGTATTCATACGTTTTTTTAATTAATATAATTTATGTATTCATATGTATTATATAATTTCTCTGAAGATTGCTACATTTTTGGGGTATTTTTCGGTTGAGAATCTTTTTTATAACTGAAAATATAAAATTTGTGTGTTATAATTGAGTTTGTTAAGTTATATTAGGAGTCTATTATGTTAATTGATTCACTTTTCGTTTTAAAAACAGTGTAATCCCCTATTTCACGCCGTGAATACAGTCGAATACAATAATCTGCCCAACTGTAATCTAATGTTTCACTCCATGAATACAGTCGAATACACTCGAATACAACAACTGATTAGCTGGACTTCCTTGATTCACGCCTATTTTTGCTACTGTATTCATGAATACAATAGCTTAAATACATCAAATACATCTTATAACCACATAAAATGTATCTATAATCCGTAATATAGCAAATAGTACCTATAGATGGCTAATTACTGCTAAAAGATAGTGCTTTATAAAAATTTCTCTACAAATTATTACTTATTCGATTGTGGGAAGCTAAATCACATAACCTAAACAATAGCATGGATTGAAAATTATTGCTTAAAAAAAGAAAAAGAGAAAAGAAAATAAAAGTCATGAACTGCAAGTTACCTAATATCAACATATGCAAGTCCTATGAAAGAACAAAAACATATGATCAGAGCGAATGAGTAGGCCCACGAATCTTGTGGTGGACCGTTACGGTTGGAATTTTTTGGTCAAAGTGGACTTTTAATTAATTTGCTTTTGGTCATTCTGCTTTGGATTTTTTCCTAACTATACCATATATGAAACCTTATTACCCTAAATATACATAGTTTGTTAATTACCCGCTCAGTCCACACTTTAACTACAATTTATATATCATTCGACTATTAAGCATTAAAAGGGTAGAATATTCCCTAAAAACGCGCTAAAATTAAGGAGATAATCTTGGTGTTAATTGATTCTACATTNTAGTAATAAGGTTTCATATATGGTATACATAAGTAAAAATCCCTTCTATTTTAATATGTACCTTATCACATAGATACCTCATATATATTCTTTAAAACTAAACTAGTAACACCTTTGTAGAATAAAATTATATTATTGAAATTTATATTTGGGTGGATTTTCCATTATTAAAAAAAAAAAGTTAAGTGTAAAATTTAATATACGAAGAGTATATATGTAATTAAGTTATATTACAGGGATGTCTAATGTAATTGACCTTTATAAATAAGCTTCTTCTAACTTGCCGATTCATTAACGAGTTGAAAGATAAGGAAGATATGGGAAGCTGCAACTGCGACGTAAGCTTGCTCGTCGACGGCGACGGTGATGTTTCTGCGACTCCGACATCGAAATGGCGGCTAAAGTGGCGTTTGTTTATCCATGCAATCGGAATACTACTTGCCGCCGGACGAACTCAGTTGGAGGTATATTCTGCGTTATTATAACTCATACGTTGTCATTTTCTCTGTAAATTTTAAAATTGCCGGATCGTTTGTACTACGTACAGATCTACAGTTCTTGCTCATTAATCCCATTTACCCATATTCTTCCCTAATGATCAGAAATATACCGGTAGCCTAGCAGAGGCAGGCAGAATCAAGATTTTATAATTATGGTTTTCTATAATGATTTTAAGTTAATGAACTGTTCAAGTTAAATATTTAATAAATTCTTTTAATAGACAAGAGTTGGTTGCTCTAGTGGTGAGTATCCTCCAATTTCAACCAAGAAGTTGTCATGAGTTGCTGTCACCCCAAGAACAAATGGGGAGTTCTTGGAGGGAGGATGGGGTAAGGTCTGCAAACCTCTTTGAGCCTCAGGTGCCAAATCTACGACCTAATTGCAACAACATTTCTACCCCTTGTGTAGACAGAATCCAATAACAACTAGTACGTCTCAATCTTAAAACCAAATTGCTTGCATGATATTTTTTTTAAAACTTCTTGGATCTTTTTCCCGGTTTTCTTGATTCAAACAGTTTGCTGCTCCATAACCACGACTAAGAGAACTGGGATCATGTGATGACTTTCAAATACTCCAACCATTCTGCACTGATTTCTTTAACTGCTTAGGGATATTACAATTAACACTCTAAAATACAACCTGTGAAGCAAATGCAAATTAGAAATTTCACTTCAAAATTAAAACATCTTCACCTCATGGGGGAAGCTTCTCTGCCTCTTTTCTTGATTTTATTGCGAAAGCTCCTTTTTCTGCTAAATGCCTTCTCCTGTATTCACACCACACAGGGAAAAGATATCAATCTTAAATATTCATAACAATAACAGTAATTCTCGTCGAGTTCATTCTTGCTAAGATGAGTACATAGAGAAACTGTTGCGAAATTGAAGTTGTGAAGTGATGACAAACAACTTTTGCATGTATTATCAAGAACACTAGAATCAATTGATCATTAAGAAAAGATTTCACTGCTAGAATCACAAACACACAATTCTTTTAATGAAAGATATGAAAGCTATATATTGGTAATTAACTCTCTAGCTTGCATTTTATTGACCTTAAAGGATTATAAGATCCAGAACTTACCGGCCACTGGTTCATCAATTTTTTCTGCATGACGAATGGCAGCAACGAGATCACGGTTTGATTCTCTATAGAGACTTGAAACTAGGCCAGGTTGGCCTGCTCTTGCCGTACGACAAACCCTCTAGTCTTTTATTTTATTTTTTGATTCTGTTGGGTGAACAGGACACTATAGACGGCAGTCCCAGTGATTTGATTTTCGACGCAAATTCAGCTCCACATATTGATCAAAATGGCACGGAGCTTCAAGAACTGAGCAGGCCTCTTGTTAACCATACTGAGCATGAAGAAGGTGAGAACAACAAGTTGGCCGAAAATTTTCTTGAAATACGCTGATTAATATTTCATTACATACACGGAGTTAGAGGTGTGGCAAAGAAAAGAAAAGATCACAAATAGTGATCACATTTTAGCTACTGTAATTGCAAAATAAATTATCCTCAGTTTCACTTGTGAAATATAATTTGAAACTATAGGATAATAACTATTTTTCAATTATATAATCGAAATGCCATTTTTACGATGGCAAAGAAGTTATTGGATCGTTTTTTTTTTTTTTTTTTTTTTTTTTTTTTTTTTTGTGGGGTTTAAACAGATCAGAAAAATGGGTCACGACATAATGTCCATAATTTTACAAGTGAAAAATATTGGGGGATTAATGGATTAGGTTAAAAGGGTTGTCCCATTACAAATGTGAAGAAACCATTCTCATTTTAGGGAAGAACGCCCACCCGAATAAGAAGTAGAGATTATTTCTATGCACAAGATAAAAAAAAATATTACAATTAGATTATTTATTCGATATTTACAGGTAAATTTATTACAAACAATTAGATTACAAATAATTAACTTTCTATCACGTATTAAAGTCACTAATAATGTTAAAAAAGTATTACACTATCAATACATATAACTTAAATGCATACTATTTTCTCAATAGAATCTAGAGACATAATTTTAGTTAAGAGAGCACATCAATTTTGACTTGTCAGCCATATCAAACATATAGCTCTTTTCTTCAAAAGAAGCGTGTTCATTTGTTTCATTCTTCATACTTCTCTTTTTAGTTACTTCGGAAGGAAGTTACGGGTAAGCTATGTGGAATTTGCATCTAATGCAACATTAAGTGGACGTTTGGACATAAAAATTCTGAAATTTCGGGAAAAAATGAAGAAAAATAATTAATTAAAAATATTATTTGAAAATTAGAATTGTGTTTGGACATGAATACAATTTATAGCTGTTTTTAAATTTTAGCGAGTGATCTGAAGTGAAATTTTTAAAAAATAACTTTTTGGAGTTTCCGAAATTCAATTTCAAGTAATTTTGAAATTTTTATGGCCAAATACATATTCCAAAAAAGTGAAAATTTTATGAAAAGGTTTTTTTTTTTTTTTTTAAATGTGAAAATTTTACTTACTTAGATATGCATAACACTATTTCAACTTCTCATTAAGGCTAGTTTCCGTGAAACTTTCTCTTTTTCATTTTCTTTTCCGATCATTTTTTCAGAAAAAAATTGTCCGCGGAAATTGGCTATTGTTATTGTTAAACCTTAAAAGTACGTATCATCCTTCATATAAATATAGAGGGTATAAAAGATCTGAAACCCTTCCATTTTTCAATTTCAGGATAACCATTTGATAGATACATGGAGGAGTAAAAAGTAAAAAGTAAAAACCAGAGGGTATTTTTCAAAGTTCAAAATGAAAGCTAAGTGAAGATCTACGAAATTTTATAAAGATAAAATGTGTGTTTTTTTTTTTTTTTTTTAAAAAAAAAGGAAAACAATGAGGGCGAAACGTGAAGGATACATGAGGACCCTCAATGAATATAACAATACTTCACTATATATAAAATTAAAGCCAAACTTTTTCGGAACCAATTTTCATATATATATATATATATATATATATATATATATATATA